GTCCCCTGCCCTCCCCGTGGCACGTGGGTGGGCCCCCACGCCGAGGCCCTGCCAAGCCAGGCCCTGGCACATGTGGGGGACGCAGAGACAGACCTTGGGGCAGCGCCTGGCGGCACCGGGGCACCCCCGCGGGGAAAAACAGCATCTCTCTGGGGGAAGATGCCCGATACCCACCTCCACCTGGGTACCCAGCTGTGCGGGAGGAAGGACGGGGGGGGTCTCCTGGTTGTACCCTAGTGGGGGGAAGGCAGACCCTGCCCCCACCCCAGCAACACCCTCCTCCGCTCACCCAAGGTGAGACCCACCACACGTGCCAGGTTCCTCACCCTCCTCCATGCCTGGGATCCGGCCCCCTCCCCAAGAGCTCAACGCCCTTCCCCGTGCCCTAGGTGACGGGGGTACCAAGGACCACAAAACGCGCTGCTCGATGAGTGGGGCCCAGAAAGCGTCCGGCTTTCCCATGCAAACCACCCGGCACGCCTTACCAGACCCGGCGTTCTTGCCGTCGCCTCCGATGAGCGGGACGGTGATGGCGGTCACGCCGTCTGTGGGCATGGTGGTATAGACAACAGGCAGGGACTGCACCACCACGGGGATAGTCTGTAGGTTGCCCATCTTGCTGGGCAAGTTGACGGAGGGGATGGTGTGGATGACATGGAGGATTTGCTGCCCACCGCTGCCCTGCGTGGATGCCAGGATGGAGCCAGGAGATAGGACGGCCGGGATGGCCGAGGTGGAGCTCAGGCCCGAGGGCGAGATGGACACCGTCGAAGCTGGGATGGGGGGAGCCACCAGCATGGGTGAGGACTGGACTGAGACAGGGGGCGGGGGTGCTGCTGGCACCAAGGGCTTCGACTTGTTGAGGGACAGGTCCACGGGTTCGGCTTGTGGCTGGCTGCAGTCACTGGCCAGCAGCTCCTCAGGGGGCTCCGTTTTGATGTCTGAGAGCAGCACGGGTGGGTCGATGGGGCCCTCAGCCAGGAGCGACGACGAACTCATCTTGGGTGCCGTTTTCCCGTGGCCCGACCCGCCAGCCTGCGAGGGGACGCAAGGAGAAACCAAACGGTCCATGAGAAAGAGAGAACAGGAAGATGATCTGGTCCCGATAGGGAAACCGAGGCAGAGCTGGGAGCCCACCCCGAAGTCCGCGCTGCCCAGGCAGGCCTGAATCCTCCCTGTTGCCAGGTGGCCTGGCTGGCGGCAGCAGTCAGGCTGCCTTACCACTTTCTCTCCCCAAGAGAGAGAGAGAGAAACCCCCCTGCACGCCACTTTCATGCCCCCCTCCCCCAAATCCCCTTGCTAATTAACTGCTAAAGAGTTATCAACCAGCCCTTTCAACACAGCAGCCCGCAGGGAGGTGGAAACCACCCAGCAGCATCGGAGGGGGAGGCCAGCCGGAGCTTCCCAAGCTTTTGCCAAGGCTGGAGGAGAGGTGCCTGTCCTCCTCGCGCCACGCAAGGGCACAGGCCTGGCATCGGCCCAAAGAGCGAGGCCCCTGGCAGCCACAGGCACGCCGGG